TGATTGGCAAAAGAGCATAAATGCGGAGGAGTAAAAACCAGCGAATTGAATGTGGATGGTGTAAAGTTGACATTTTTGAGTAGGTCAAATTTTGAATGTTCCGTCGTACAGCCAAACATCTCGATGTAATATCAATTTCTGGATTTTGTCGCGACTTCAAAAGTTTTGCACCTTTTCTGGATCTTCAATGCCGCTATCAAAAAAGCTATCGTGTTGCTTCGGTACCTCAAAATGTCAGTCAACAATTGGAAGCACTGTGGGTCTCTCATATACCTTCTGTCGATTGAGGTCTCGATTAATTGCCGACCGGAAAAGAAGAGTTAAGAATATTATCTTTTCTTCGGACACACATTGCAGGCATTTTGCTATAATGATGCTATTGACTGGTACTTGCTGAGTTTTGGTGTCCTGTTTCATTTTTTTCACGAGAAACCTTGCATCTCAGCGACCAGAAAAAACTTCGTTAGTGTGTTCAAATCTACAGGGAATAAGGTCGTTATCTCGGGTTATTGCTGTCATTTTGCATTTAGTGGACGCCCACCTTGAACACTTCCTGTGAATATTTCCATTTTTTTCCTTTTTCTTGGTAAACTCGTGGCCATCGATTACAAGGGCTCCCCGATTCTGTTGGGATAGACTCCAAGAAATTTGACTCATTTTGGTAAATAGTCTACAAGGAAAACTGGTATAATGAGGTAGTTTTCAATTCAATTTTGATCGTTATTTGGAAAATTGGGGAAAAAAACCTGGAAATTGAGGATTAAAACCTGTTAATTTGGACTCAAGTGAATTAACACGTGCTGTTATCTTTCCGATTCTGATTAGAACTTTGAAAGATTCATTATTTATGCGGCCAATCGACACAGGGTAAATTCGTATATTGGGCAGATTAGCATGACGTAGATTTGTATAGGATAGCTTGGTATGTAGGGTATAATGGCATAGGGTAGAATGGTATAGGGTAGTTTGAAACATAGTAAATTGTCTCGCCGCCTTTTTTTCATTTTGCACTGAAGGTTTTTCAAAAAATCTTTTTTTTAAATTAAGCATTTTTCACAAAACTGCAGATACCGTAAAATTCAATCGGATCAATAAGGATGTTGTCCTGATTTGAGCTATCTTCTTGAAATTTTAAAAATTTTTCTAGTTTTTTTGCTGCATTGAGAATGATTGGGTTAAAATGATTATAAACTTGATTGCTAATCTAGAAAGAAAATAAATGGAAAAATAGCGCTTGTATTGTAAATAATTTTCATTCCTAGGCAGTCATACGCAGTAGTTTTTTTTTCTTAAATTTCGTTCAGTTTTTTTCTACATCAGCCATCTTTTTGTTCTCAACTCTGCCGTTAAGACATATTTAGCCGAAACAAAATTGACAGAAGTTTTTGGTTATAAAAAATTATGGTAGAGTTAAATAAGGTTTAAAAATTGAGACCATATGGCAATGCTGGTTGTCCGTGTCTCATAGTTAGAATAGCTCTAACTGTTTTTTTGTTAATCTTGATGAATTAATTTCAAAAGAAACTACAGGGCGAGTGCTGCGCCTTTTCAAATTTTTTTTATGGATCTCAAGCACTGAAGGGAAACAGATTTTGGCCTCTAGAATTAAAAAGGACAAACAAATGAATAAACTTGTTAAGCCACATGGCAATGTTGGTAGTGATATGTGTTATTTGACAACCATATTTAAGAATAAAAATAATAAATTTATTGAAGTTTCAATTGGGGAGTGAGGACTGTGAAATTATTTTGAGCTTCCTAAAACTAAAGAGTTTCAAAGTTGAGTGAAAGAAAAACATAATGAAGTGGCATTGATAGCGGGACCCCGACAACTCGTAGCAAAAAAATCACAACAAATACAAATCGTAATATAAACATCATTACGAGGCCAAACTAAGCACTGGATAGGCGCACAATTTTGTGTCTGTTTTTTTCGTGGATTCCAGAGACAAATCTTTAAATATTTTCCAAAAATTAAGTGGAATCCAATTACAAAATTTCAGTGGATTCCGCGCACAAATAGCTGTAACGTAAATTTGTGGGCACATTGATTTTGTTGCGGATTCCGCAAGGAGTGAATATAGGTAGTTGTTCCGGATTCCGCAAATGTAAACGGATTTTGCAAATGTTAGTGGATTCCGCAATTTTATGCGGAATCCGCTTACAATTTGCGGAATCCGCTTACAGTTTGCGGAATCCGCTTACAATTTGCGGATTCCACCTACAGTTGCGGATTCCGCGACAGCTTAAGTTTACTAAACACACATATATTATGGTTATTAGATGTTCATGGATTCCACAAACTGGTTCCGGCAAAGTTTTGGAGGATTTTGAGCAACACACTGTCTTAGCTATTTGTCCGTGGAATCCAAAACAGCAGAAAAGATCAATGAAAAATAGCTGTGTTGCGGAATCCGTGACAAATCTGATTTTTGCCTGTTGCGGAATCCGCTTACAATTCACAAAAGGCACAGTTTGGCCTCGTTATGATTTCGCAAAAAAAACGACAACCTGAAACGTTTTTTTTTCTTCAAAATCTAAGAAGTTCGGTTCAAGGTCACCGGTGAGAGTAGAACCGTCTCTAAAGTTCTACTTTTTGTCGGTAATCTTGCAACAAGCTGGCGTGACGGCTGCGCTGAGTACATTGCGAGTTGACTTTTAAGTTTGTAATTTAAACCAAATTTCAGTGGTGGTCAACTTTAAGAAGAACAATCAAACTTAACTTTCCAGTTCGAATTAAGCTTAAAAAAGCTTCAATAGGACAAGATAATATATCTGATTTTGATTGCATAATGAAAAAACTACTGAGCATAAAGTTCCCACTTATTGTGTGGTGGGATCAAATCAGGCATGACAAAGATTCGCACAATTTAATGACTCAGCAAATCAAAATTTAAGGGACGCAAAACTTCTTGGACTTAATTAGTTAGGAAACGAATTTTGATGAAACAAAAAAGATTTGCGAGGACGTAAAAAAATGGAGTCATAATTGATTTTATAAAAACTGAAAACAGACTTCTTTTTGTTTGGGCAGTCCGATTTACATTATACACTTTAACAAACAGAAAAATTTCAATTAGAAGCCCTTCGGGGTGTAAAAACTACAAAGCTTATTATAGTAGAAAAATATCAAAATGGGACATTTCTTGCAATAACATTTTAACCTTTGAAGCCTCATGGTACTGCTGGTTTCATAGCAAGAATAGTGCAAGCATCGTGAGTGTATGAATGATAAAAAAATTTAATAAGAATAATTTAAGTCATTGAATGCAACGACTTACAATCTTAAAAATCAATCATTGAAAATGCTAATGCCTTTTTTGAACTTTTTTCCATAATCGGATTTTAATGTGCTTTCAAGTCAACAATTGCTCTCCCTTATGCTGTTGAAAAAATGTCGCTCATTGCTGAATTGAATTAGAGATTCCAACAAATACCTCCACTGTTCCATCAAAATCATGCGATAACTGAAGTACAGCGAAATTCAGTACGAAAACTTCACTGACAGAGGTTACACTAGAAAATCAACTAAAAAGAGGAAACTTAGGTTTTGCTAACGAGCAATTCCGAGAGTAACGAAGCTTTTCGAGACGTTAAAATTGTGCAGTTACTATTGTTACTTCATTTAATTTACCAATCAGGAGGGAAATAACATTCCCGGCAGTGAAGAAGACGAGGAAGGGTCTATTGTTGAACTCTGAAACTTTTTTATTATTATTATAATTTTTCTACCTGAAATTAAGTTATTTAACAAAAATTATACAACAAAGTTTTTCAATAGCAAATAACTGTTCCCTAAAAGCCTCAATAGCAAAAAGGTCAAGCATTGTTGTAGCATACGCCACAAAAGTACATAACGACGGCGAGCATAAATTAACACTATAACGTTTGGCTAGCGTCAGAATAAATTGTCACTTGATTTTCAACGTCTCTACAAAAGCCAATTTAGAGCAATCTTTGATTGCTGTCAAGGTCAGATTGGGTCGACAAGTATATGTCACAGTCTAGTTCAAAGACTAGCGACCGAACTATGCAAACTAACTAGTAACATGCTGGTAACCGTGAACTCATGGTTGGGTCTCGGTATCCCCAGACCACGAGGTCACTCTTAACAACATGACTGATAATAACTTTGCTATTAGTTTTCTTCAGATGGGAAAAAAATTTATCCCTCGAGGATGGATCTAATTTTTCTAACTTCTGGCTCCTCATGATCGGTGACTGAAACAAAATGTTGTTTTTTAAGTTAAAGATAATTTAATGCAGCTCCAGTCCCGATTTCATTGACAGACATTTCTTGGTCGCTGATCTTCATTGAATAAGCGTCCTCTTCGCTTACGGGAAGGGTTATCTCATTAAACTCAGCTCTGCCCGATCGGTACGTCTCGGAAGGCTTCTTTTCTCTCGAAACCACTCGTTCGCAAATTCTGAGTTTCTGCTTCTCAGTTTGTCCAGTCAAATCTCTGTCAGTGAAACTTGTCGTTCTGAATTTCGCAGTCTATCAGTTGTCGCTAAACAAAAAGTTGTCACGTGCCATGACAAGGGCAACCAAAAAACTCTAAGAAACCTTTACTTTTTCTGTTATTCTTCATTTATCAGTTCTTTCGATGAATAAAGCTCTGAAGTTCCGTATCTCGTGTATCGTGTTCTACATTTTTGATTAAAATTGCAGAGCTTTCTGGTCGAACGGCACATTTTTCTCAGCATTTTCTCACCACAAGTTTTTTTCAGAATCCAAAAAACGTGTAAAAATGCTTTGATACGATATTTTGGACCTTCTAAATTTTTTCTACAATTTAAAAAAAATGGCAATGAAAAAACAAAAATGTGGCATAGTTAGTTCCCACTTCGTCTAGTGGTCATAAGAACTACTTGCGAGTGATTCTGAATGTTGTATAATTTTATTACACTTGATAAAACTGACCAAAATAATAGTTTTACTTGATTCATAATTAAACAGTTTTATTTTTCAACGATTTGCCACCTGTAATTTTTCGCGTTGTCTTTTATCTTTACAAAATAAAATCGTGCTGTATTCAAACAATTGAGATTTATACTTAGCTGTCAATTGAAGTTTTTTTTAGCTGTTTGTGTACTTTCAAACACATTTTTATCGTTGCGATGTTCTATCGATGACTCTGAGAGGTTTTGTAAAGAAGAGCCGAAGTTATTACAAGTTCAACCCGGGAGAAACTGCAGCTGTTTTCCAGATGGAGGGCAACACGCGTACCTGGAGTGAAATTCTACAAGGAACCTTCTTAAACCACTCTATTTGGTATTAACGGAAAAATATATTGCCAACACGCGCGGATCAAAAAAGTTTTCGAGAGACGGGTTGATTTCTAAAAAGTTTCAGAAAAGTTAACCATTCTTATTTAAGCCAACCAACAATGATTTTCAGAGTTTTGCCAAAAACACTTTTGAAGAAGCTTTCATGCTAAAATTTTTAAAAGAGAAACCGAAAGTGCCGTTTTTGTGCAGTTTTTGGAAGATTTCGACCAAAACGTTGCGTTTTTTTGGCGCTCGCTATCCACCAAAATTTTTTTTACGTTGGCGTTATTATGAATTTAGGATGGTTGCTTGAAAATTGCTCAAAAGATTGCACGGCCAATTTTCGCTTTAAAATCCGCAGCTTTAGAAAAAGAAGACGTTTTTAAATAACGTCACCCCCTCCCCGACCAGGAGTTGGGGGGGGGGGGGGGGGGTTTGGGTTGGGGCAAGTTCTTTACTAGGCACAAAATTCACTGATGTTTAACCATTGAATTAGTTTTGTATCTGGTTGGCCTTTTTTACTAGGTACCATAAGGGCTTAGATAATTTTTTCGTTAAATTTATTGACCAATTTGAAGACACTCGATTTATTTTGGGAGAACGTTCACCTTGCTTTAAGTTCGTAATTTTCATTAAAAAGTCTTTCTTTCAAACTTGAAATTTAGTGGGTAACATTTCTAAAATTGAAAAAAATTTCAAAAATTTTCAAGACTGAGTCAGTCAAAAATGGTTGTCGTAAGAAGTTGTTGAAAGTGATAATTTCTCTTGAGGAGAAATTGGACTATCGCTCTTTTTTAAATCGTCTGCTGTGAAAAATTAAAAATCTAATGGCAAAGGTTTGCACCGAGGTAGTCTTCGCTCAATTTTTACGAGCATGATTTGATATATGAATGAACAAAAAGTAGTTTAAAAATTATCAAAATAGGGCATTAAAGGATTAGCAAAGTTTGAAAAGGTGTTCCAATTAGATCCGGACTACAAACGATTCGCGGACGAGTTTCCTTCCATTTACACAAACCACTGGTTGAGCAAAGCTGATGAAAAGTTCAAACAACTTCAGATGCCCTACATGGCAGAGCACGTGAACAGAATAGTGGAGTTATTGAAGCTGGATGAAACTGATGTGTTCATTGATTTAACAGATAATGACCACTCAATAGCAGCCGCAATACGCGATCAAATTAAGGTAACATCAAAGGCCAGTTAGTCGCTTATTCTGAGACATTAGTACTGAGACCTTTTTATTTCAAGGGCTAATAAATGTACGATTGGGCTTTTTTAATGCAACCGGTTATACCCAAGTGATTTTGTATGCATCAGTATCTGGTTTAGTCTTACTGAGTTTTGTTTACTGAGGAAAAAGTATATTATACTGTTCCATTCCATGCAAAAACGCTTCACATGCCATTTTCACACTTTTTTTTAAAGAAATTTATGGAATTTTGCGCATTTAGTTATCGGTAATTCTTCCATTTTTGTATGAATTAAAATGATGGCATTTTTGTCAACCCGGGATGACAAAATTGCTTAAATTGAAACCCTGCGATAAAATGACTCCAAGTGCAATTAAGCGATGCTTGAAAAATGTGACCATCTGGTGATTTTGATAGAAACCAGGAATACAAAAACCTAAAATGATAAAACGAGCTAGCCCAATTAAGCTTAAAAGCCTGCTCCATCCAATGCGTGAGGTTTTTTTTTAAAAAAACAATCGATACAAAAAGTTAATGTCCTTTTCTATAATAAATTCAATTGAAATTGAAACCTTCGCTACTCTTCAGTCAAAAAGTGTAGGATCGGTGATTCTAATACACTTTCGGCAACATAAAAGTCCTCTTAGAGAGTATAACTTTTCAAAAACGGGAAGGCTTATGAAAAGCACGTAACTTAAGGTTTTGTGTAATCAGTAAGATAAGTAAAAAAGTAAGCAAACGATCGGGTCCAGAATCGTTTGAAACTAAGAAATATTAATCCCAATCAGGGCAAGATTTATAAAAGGCTAACATGGTCTACCCCTAATTGGGAACTGACGAGGCTTACTTAGGAAACTCAGATGATTGATACTAAAGATAATTTGAAAAGGGTATATGCAAAAACCAGGACCCCTCGGGACCCCCTGCCCCAAGTGATAACGGTCACTGGAAGGGCAAACAACCCTGTTGGAACTGGATATCTAGCGGTCGGAATGGGACACTAATTTTGCATGTTAGAGACCTAATCAATGGAAGCTTAAGTATAGAATACCGGACCACCTGTACCCCTACTTTCAGTATTATGCTCTCAGAAAATAGCCCACATCTCGACTTCCGAAGTCATTTTCAGCCCCAAATGAACGCAAGGAGCTGAAATTTTGGGACTTAACAGCTCATGACAAAGAACGTCATGTATTATAGTTTGAGCCAAATGAGCCCTTTGACGACTTCCGTCGTTGATAGTGGACCTTAAAATGGGATTTTTGGGAAGTTTTAAAGAAGTATGGCTAGAATTTGATAGAAAGAACCCTCAAGGGAATGGTACCCTGAATACGGAACATGGACCTCTGGTGACCCCAAGGTGACCTCTTAATGACCTTCTGGCGCTCTGCAGTCGAAACTGCAAGAAAACAGTAACAGCATCATAGCATAGGAAACCCTAAGGAAAGGGGTCTGTTCCCCGCCCTTATCCTTGGAAATGATTCTCGATCGCCTTACAGCTGATTGAGAGGTGACATGTCTATTGGAAAAGAAGTTGGACGATAAAAAAGATCTAGCTTTAAGTTGCAATATTGAACTATTGGATTGAATGAGAGTGAAACTAAGCAATCAATGGATTCAACTTAGCAACGATGGTTAAGATATTTGTAGTAATTCACCCAGACCACAGAAAAGTAGTCTCAGAGTAAATTGGCAGTTATATGAGTGCGGCACGATAATTAAGTCTCCTAAATAAAAATTTTTGACAGAATGTATACTTAGCTCCCCAGAAGTGCCTTTATAGTGAAATCAGACCTCTTATATATGAGCTACGCTCTACTGATAGCGAGAAAGGTGGGATTGAAATAGAGTAAGGACGAAAAATTAAGAAGCTTAAACAGTGTTAGCAGCATCTGAAAATGACTTCTTCCCAGCTCTAGGAGGCCGCAAAAGTAAAATTTCAATTTGAAAATTTCTTTGGGAGGCTGCTTAGGTGAATAATAAAATTTGGATTTGACATGAAACGGGAACTGATATTTGCGCAGTATATGTGAAGATACCCTTAATGACATAGACGTTCAATATTTGTGTTGTCACTAGAACATTTTAATTAGGACTTTGCGCAAGGGTACCACGGTAACTTTCACGACTTGTAGGGACAATCATAAGTATAACTTAAATTCAAATAGACAAACATAGCGAAAAATTTACGGACAACTTACCTTTATGCAGAAACTTAAGTACTAAGCTAGAGTATACTTGGTTCTCGGTTAATTAGAGGACAATTATCTAAAGAGAGAAAACAAATGGTTTTCATAGTTTGTTGAAGAACGAATACCCTTGAGTGACATTATAGTTCGTTCTCAGTTGAAAAGAGTGCAGAATCTGAAAAAAAATGATGAGCGAGTTACACGGCTGGAGGCCAGTTAGAGCCAGTTAGAACCAGTTAGCGAGGTGGTGATCCAACGGAATTAAAAGCGAGCTTTGTTTCATAACTACTTTAATAGTGGCTTTTAAGGGCCTTGTAAATTATTTTCTTTCCTCGGCGATTGAAGACAAAATTACTTCTTGTACCCACAATTGGTTGAACTAGCTAGAAACGAGAGTGAAGAAGAGCCGGAAAGAGCACAACCCTCATGAGAAGTTACATTAGCCTTTGATTGACCGATTTAGTCTTATCACCAACATTACCCTTTCGGAAGTGTGGATACTACTCTGTCTTAGTGTCCCCCGCAATAACACTGTATAAAAAGGAGAAATTCTACAGCCGTTGAAAGAAGTGAAAGAGTGCTTAAGAGGAGACGTCTCTCTTAATTCTACAAAGAGTGATTAATATTAGAACAAGCAACCAGGTTTAATGCAACTTCTAAAACATTGTCAAAGTGCCAAAAACTGTTTTTATTATGGAAAATTGTACATTTTTTCTTGTTGTGGAAGTTTTTAGCATGGTGAAATTTTAGAAAGTGAACTAATTCAAAGTGAAACTCATATTAAATTCGTCGACCAGACTAATCCTATCAAGGCGAAGCCTTGATTGTTCCCACTGCCCTTTAACGTCTATGCATTAGTGCATGACTTCAAAAAAGTGTCGAAACGTTTTTTTTTTAAGTCGAAATTACTTTTTTTGAAAATCACCCACCCTTTCGCTATGTAAAGCAAAAACTTATATGTTTGGCATATATCAACGTATAAAAATTTGAAAAACTAGCATGCTTGAAATCAATCAATTTGCAACGCTTTAAAATGCGCGATTTGAAGGTTCTGTTACTTTCTTCGTAAGTCAGAGCAAAACGCAAAATTTTTAATTGCTGCGTTTTGAATTAATAGGCGAAAATATGTAATCAATTAGGTATGATGTTCAAAGCAACTTACCGTTTGTTGTTTTTGATTTGTAGCGCGATTCAATGCAATGATCCCTTCCTCCTACTAGGTGATAATTTAAAACTTTTGAAATGTGAAAAAAAAACGTAATTAGAACATACAAGTCCGCTTGCGTGGATTTTTTTTCGAAGGAAAACGATTTTTCAGAAGTTTTTTAATCAATCATGTTAAGGTTAGTAGCTCAACTGCTAGAACTCCAAAACTTGTAGAATAAATTGCCTGCGCCGCAAGCACCTTTCCTGAAAAAAAAATTGTTATAAAACTATTTTTTGAAAAAAGACCGTATTTGTTTGCGCGGTCTTCCTCAAAGATAATGCGTTCACAAAAATTTTAGGGTTAGTCAGTCACAAAAAGCTGCCGTAAATCAGTACGAAAAATAGAGAATTTGGAAAACTTTGGCAAGTGATCGGGTGCGGAAATGTGACATAAATAGTCGGCTTGTTTCTTTGGTAATCAGAATTTATTTTTAACAAGATCTAATATCGGTAAGCTTTTATTGTAAACTTTAGGTTTTTGACAACTGTTCTGGGGTGTAGCACGGCGCATGTGTTCTTGTTAGCACCCGCAGTGGTTTTGGCGTGAAATCTTTCAAAGTTCTTGCAATAACAATAGCTTAAGAAAAAATTTTTCTTGTATTTTTTTTGTATAATTATTGCGAGATTTGAATTCTCTTGTTGAAAAAAAGAAAGATTTTGCATTCTACTGAAAAATTATTTTTCAATTACTTTAGCTGGTTTTGATACTTCAATTTTTTGAAATTTACTTCAAAATTTCACAACGGATGTAGCTGAAACATTTTCTTCCAGAACGGGAGATACATACAAAAAATGCGCGAGTGTGTGAAAACAAAGTGCTTAGAAAAAATGTTCAAAATAAGTAGGTTAGAGCTGTAGTTTCAAAAAATGTTTTGTAAAACAAAATGCGCGTAAGTGATAAAAAAAAACCATTTAAAATTAAACCGTTTAATATAACCGTTTAAAAAAATTAACTTTAAATGCTTTTTGAGAAAAAATCAAGCGTCGAATTTATTATACATCATCAATGACACTTCTACGTGGTTACCTGCATTGACAAAAATGGTTTTGGAACGATTTAGATAGATTTTAAATTGATACAAATTGATTAACAATGAACATTTCAGGAACTGTAATCCATTTTAAATCGGTTTAAATTGATATTTCTTGATAATTTTGGATCAATTTAATCGTTTCTCTCAAACAAATTCATCCATTTATATCAATTTATATCCATTTATATCCATCTGAATCTCATTTATATCCATCTGAAACTTCGTGAAACCCAATTAAATTTATTAGAAAACACCCCTGAGCAGATCGATTTAAACGTCTAAAAAATGCATTCTGAATCGATTCAGATCATTTTTTTGCTGACACTGCCAATAAAATTAGCATTTTAAAAGAACAATTAAAACATGCAAAAAATTGTAAGTCAGATTTTAGGCAAAAACCTACGTAACAAATTAGGAAAACAATCGATGTAATTTAAATTTTTAGCTCGAAACTTAGCAACGAAAATATAAAAAAAACATCAGTTTAAATCAGATTCTGCGCAAAAACTTAAGTAACAAATTAAGAAAAGGGTTACAATAAATCGAATTTTGAGCTAATAAAATTTGCAATGTTTTCTTCAAAAATTATCATTATAAATCAGATATTGGAAAAAACCTTTGTAACAAATCAATTTTTTGAGATCAAATTATGCGAGGATACAATTAGTCTTTTTGTTAAGATACCATACGCTATGGATGTAAAGTGAAAAATGATGGGCATGATTAAATGCAACTTAAGCTCAAAACTGATGAAACTTGAAACAAGAATAGGCTGAAATCCGTTTTAATCAGTTACATTTTTAGTTAAAAAGCGGGAGTGCGCACAGTAAAAACACGGGATTTTTGAGTTTAAAAAAATAGCAAGCGAGTGAACTTCAACCCTGTACATGAGCTACTTAATGAAACAAAAGCTATTAGGCCGGTCTTATGGCTTTTCAGTACTTGATTTTAACGGGCTCTATGGAAGACGCCAAAAATTGAGTAAAAAAATGGTTGTCTTTCTTAATCTTTCTGGTTCACATTAAAGAAAAATATCTGATACAAATTTAGAGTGGCTAATACGTGTTGAAAAAAGTGCGAGTCATACAATTTCAATCTAGGATCAATTTTTTCCTGCATGGGTCAACTTAAAATCCTCTCCCCAAACAGACTAAAAAATTCTTAACGCTTCTGGGAAGATGTTAATCTTTTCCTACTACACTAAAACTGGAGCGAGAAAATTAAGTGGTTACTTTGCAGTAAGTAGACAAAAAACAGACCAGCCAGTCTGCAAAACGTTTCTTAGTTTTTTTTATACGGCATTTTTTTAAATTTAAAATTACTATACATTAGTCCCCTGACAATTTTGGGCAACTGAATTTCAGATAATGTTTTCTCAAATATCAGGCTTTGTAACTTGTTTAGAATTATGGTCCCGTTAAGAACCTCGTTTAGATGTATGATCCCGAAAAACTACCAATGGTCCCATATAAAAGTCAGTCTGAAACTTTTTTACTAGTAGTTTCTAAGTTTTGTCAATAAATTGATGCTTGTGGTAATTTGATTTTAAAGAAAACATTAGGGTCGAATCTAACGAGAAAAAAAGTTTGCCTTTTGTTTTCATCCACTTGAAGTACTTCAAGTATAATTCTAGAGGTCTGGCGGGACAATTTTTTTAACGAGTTTTTCAATGAGACTCATCAAAAATGGCGGGAGCATACTTCTAAAAGAGTAGTCAGGCTTTGTTAAAAAGTATTAGTTAAAAAAGTTACATTTTAACCACATTTGAAAGAACAATTCAAAATAACCTTCTAGATCTTTTTTTAATTCCATACATATTAACAAAATTACATTTAGTTTTGTAGCTAGAGCCTAAATTTCTAAAGTAAACCCCCCTCGTGAACAGTTTAACTAAATCAGTAAACAAAACTAAACACGATCTTTCATATCAATCAAGAGAGATTTCATTTTTTTTTCATTCTATCATTGACACCATTAATTTTGAAAAACCCTGCAAACTGTCATAGGGCACAGATTTTGAAGCATTGAGGTTTAAAAGTGCATCCAAATGCAATATATGATAGTATGTTATGAACCTTAGCTTCAGCAAAGGTGTAATACCAACTGTGCCCTTTCACATCACAGTCATCAAAAATTCTATAAAAAGAAACTCAACTCTAGCAAATAACATAATGATAGTCTCATCTAAATCCCAATGATATTAAAAGAATGAAAACAAGCGAATTTTAAACATTTTCACAAAATTTGTGCAATATTTTTATCATAGATTATGAGTTTTTATATGAAACCTTTTTCTATAGGATTTTCTATAGAATAAATTCAAAATTAAGTTCAAAATTCAAATCTTACTGCGTCTTTTTGTAGTTCAACGAGAACACATTCTGCATTGGGAAGCCCTTCAAACAACTGGCTGAGTGTGTGGTGCAGCACCCCTCCTTAGTGCCCCTCTACTCCGAGAGTACTCTGGTGGCCCAGGACATGTCCCACTTTGAAGTATTCCACATCAACAAGGTCCTCATCACTGCCGAGACCATTGCCAACAATAACAACCATATCACTGGTAAACTGGGGCTCAGGGGGTCTCACCAACACCTTTCTCAATCTCTTCTAGTTTTTTTCTTAGTTCGCGCTCAAAAAAAATTAATTTTGTTTGGAAATCACCAAAGAGTTCCTAAAATTAAAACAATGTAAAACAGTATCCTAGAAAAAAAATGAAATATGCACAATCGTAGGCAAATATAAGCACGTATGGAGTTGACAGGGAAAAAATTTTCAACCATTTTTTTAAGTGATCGGGTTGGTCTGACGCCTTTTTTCAGGAGTTCCACCCCTTCACTGCCCAAAAAATGATCTTTTAGTACTGTTTTGCTACGCCCATTTCATTGGCCAATCAATTATAAGTTTTTTCTATAAGAGTTTTCGCGTCAACATGTACTAGTTTTGAAGGAGAGGTCGTGGCAAAAAATGCGAGCGTCAAAATTTCGGATTCGACTTCTGGCTATTTACGCAAAAGAAATAGGTCTAACGCGAACTCATTTTAGATTTGCTGAAAACCTTGTCCAAAAACCTGCCAGAAGACTGGAGGATTCTGATCGTGTACCGTCCGGAGCACACATACTTGCCACTGTTCGAAGGAGCCAGACAAGAGATGATCAAGACTCAACTGTCCACAGATGACCTAAGAAGTAAGAGCATACGTTTTTTCCTATTTGTCTTTTTTTAAATTATCTTTACAGCCAAAGTAGTAGATGTTGGAGGTGATCAAGGGGGGGAGGTGGCTGACCTCCATGTATTAACATAGGCTATAGAGTATCCGGTCAGCCACCTATGTATTAAGATAGGGTATAGAGTCTACAATGTATAAGGATAGGGAAAACCAATAGTAAGGTTTTATGGTTTGTGTGATGGTAAGATAATGGTAAGAAAAACCTAATTTTTTTGGTTTTTGTGAGGAAATGTCTAATTTTTTCACAAAAATCTGGGCGCGCGTTACCTAATTGTGAACAATTAATTGTTAATTACGGGTAGATTGTAGAATAAAGGTTATGTATTTAGTTTTTTGGTGGATGGTAAGTCAATGGTAAGAGTTTTTGTGCAAAAACTTGGAATTTTTATCAAAAAAATTTTTTCGAAAAAATTCACAACACGATAAGATTTTGTTTAATTTGATATGATAAAAATTTATTAGATACTTTTACTTTCTACCTATCTGAATCTATTCTGAACCTACAGAGACCTCGAAAAAAAAATCAAATTTTTTGAGAAAAAATTGCAAAAATTTCAAGTGTTTGGAAAAAAATGCAAAAATTTCAAGTATTTGGAAAAAATTGCAAAAATTTCAAGTATTTGGAAAAAATTGCAGAAATCTCATAATTTTGGCTAATGTATTGTTGCTTTTGATCTAATTTTAAACATACTTTTTCGTATAGATTTTAAAAATAAGCTAGGACTGTATGTTAATTGGCATTATGTTGAGACAAGGATACAAAATTTTGAATAAAAAAAATAACTTTTTCAAACTATTTTTTCTCAAAATATTGAAATACGATGAAGCTTACCTTAATTTGAGCTTAATATTTGGTTATACAATGCTCTAAACACTGAAAAGAAGGTTCATACTAGCAGAATCAATATTGAAACTTCCGGAAAACAGTGAACTTAATCGTAATTTTTGAGAAGGTAAAATAAAAAATAATCAAATTTACATGAAATTTTCCATTTCGAACCTTTACTTTGGTTTTTAACTGTTTTTTTTTGTCCAGTTCAGATATTATTTTTAGGAATCTCAATTCAAATGAACATTAAGGGTAATATCCTATGAAATTTCTAAATCAAACTCCATGATTCAAACTCCATGATTCTCATTTTTTTCTCATTGAATTACCCAAATTTGTACAAAAATTACAACTTGTGAGAAATTTTTCATTTTAAAAATTAGAAATTTCTGATTATTGATAAAAAATTAACGGTTTATTGCTAAAATTGTTTAAAATGGGATAAATGTTTCTCAAAAATTTATTCGATATTGGCTCAAATTCAACAAAAACTTCTTCATAACTGATGATTATCTCTCTGTTGCTTCTGCAACATAACTTTCAAGATTTTCCGTAGAGTTTTTCCATGTTTTAAAGTTATTCTTGCTTTCTGTTTAAAACATGTTTTCGCTATTGAACACACTTTACTAGAAAATTTAGTCAAAACTGGAGAATTTAGGAGGAAAATAGTATCAATTGAACGAACAATTTGCTAGCAGAGATGAAATTAGAACTGATACCGTATGATAATTACAAAAAAAAATGTTAAAATCTTCCTCGAGGTTCCCCTGTTCAGTTGCTATTGTAAACTATTTAAGCAAAAATACACATTTTGGAATCATTAACTATCACTTTTCTTGCAAAATAGTTATTAACTTGCTTTTTTTCTTAATTTATGACGGAAATTTTCTCAAAAATATCCAAGTGAGAAAGAATTGGTGCTAGTTAAAGCATTCAAAAATATGTGTACACAATGAGAATATAAAGGTGTATTTTTACGATCTAAGAACAAATTAGGAGCAGCTCTATTATTTATAATCTGAAAATCTCCGGAAATACGCAAGAGAACCTAGTTCCTAACATCTACAATATAAAAACTTCTGAAAGAGCGAGTCTCAAAAAATTGATTCAGCAAAGCAAGGTGTAAACTGGAACAATTGTGTAATTTTCCAATTTTTATTAAGAAAAAAACTCTATGTAGTAAAAATGTAGTAATGTATTGTATATAGTGTTGTATATTCTATGTAGTATTGTGTAGCAAGGAAAAGTAGATCTTGAATGCAAGTTTTCGATTTATGCTTTATGTATCTTCTTCCAAAAGATGTCGAATTGGGTTTGCTTTTCAAAAATTATCTTCAAAACATTTGATCTTTCATATAAAGTACCAAAAATATCAAATGATAACAATTTTTTCTAATGAATTACGGATAAATATAAGACTTTGAGAATTTTTATGTTGGATTTTTTTTCTCACGATATACTTTATAAGCTAAATTTTAGTAAAAGTATCTCAAATCTCTTAAGGATTAAATTGAGTTTCTATCTCATTTTAGCATTTTCTCAGTTTCTGCTTCATCTACTTTCTACCAAATGAATCCAATTTGAGCAAATTTTTATTTGAAAATTGAATTTTAGATGGAAAAATGTATCGTTTCAACGAACGATCAATAATCCGAAGCTGAATTAATACCATAAACCCATTACTAAAAAGCTTTAAAGGATTTTCTCAAGCTCATAACTGTATAATGCTGTTTTAAATCTGAATTTTTTTTTAGAATAAATGTTTAGTTGGAATGATGTGTATCATTATCTTGAAACTTTCAAAGTTTAGCAAAAAATACATTTTTTCAAGGTCATTTATCAATTTCTTTTCTGAAATTATCAAAAAATCAATAGAAAAACATTATTCTTAATAAGTCAAACCACATTATCTGCATAAAAAGCTCTGCTCTATGAACAAATTTTTACAAGCACTAAACAAGGAAAACTTTAAAATAGTAACTACAAAAAACCTTTCAATTAGTTGATGTTTTCCAAATATCCAAGTCTTACAATTTTTAGGCGCATACTTAAATACTCCTTAGCAAATGCTATGCACTCTACTACAAATTTATCACAACAAAGTCTCCGCAAGCTTGCAACTAAGGGAGTTTTTACTGTTGATTAAAAGTTTTCGGATCGAGTTCCATGGAAAGCTTCACGTCGATTTGAACTCGATTTTTGCTGTCTTTCACATCAATCAAAACCTTTGAATAAAAAAAAAAATGATAGTTCAGGTAATGTAATGAAAACACTGTATAGTTATTGACATGATTTGTTACAATTGCTGAGACTTTTCAGATTCAGTAAAAACTAATAATCATAGTAAACTAATATTCAAAAAAAAAACTTAAAAATTTTACTTTTTCCTGAAGTGTGTTTGGAGTCTGCTGAGCACATAATTTAATATTATGCTGAGAATGCTTCTTCTTGAAATGATTAGCGAGTTCCTCGCTGCTATAAGTATAAAAATTACAATTAGAACACTTCAAAACACTACATGTTCTACGATGTCTTGATGCATCTTTGTGAGTGTAATCCCTGCCACATTCAAGACATGCAACTCTTTCGTTTCTATTGAGTGAAGGCATCTCAATAGTAATGAAAAATTAAATGGGAGGTTTAAAATGTACCAAATTTTTAGATAAGGTGAGTTGAATAGCCTCAAAAAATGATCAAAAGTAAAAAAAAACAGCAAACTTATTAAGCAATTGTTTTTAACGAGAAAGAAAATCAGAATGGATATGCTATTTAGCCTAGCTGAAATAAAAATCATCCAATCTAATCATGGAATTTTTAAACGTATCAACCAATCAGAATCGAGCATTAATTACAAGGAAACTTTATCTTTTCTGATATCAACCAATCAGAATTGAGCTTCAATAGTCATGTAATTTTCAACAAATTCAATGTCAACCTATCAGAATTGAGCTTCAAAAGTCTTGAAATTTTCAAGAAATTTAATGTCAACCAATCAGAGTTGAGCTCTTTTTCTCATGAATTTTTCAACAATTTCTTCAAAATTTATTGATTTTGAGGATACTTTCACAGACATTATTTGTGTTAATAACCAATCAGAATGAAGTAATCACAGATTTTAAACACTTTGTAGATCAGAACCAGACTATGTTTATGAAATTTCTTAATCAATAAATTTTATTGAATTTTTCCAATATAACTAAGATTTGAAGTTTGATAAATGAGATTTCTTGCCTAGTTTATATTGTTTTTTCGATTTTCAATTCAAATTTTGAAATATCGATCAAAATTTTTCCGATTTGTTCTATTTCTAACCAGTGAATAAAGAAATTACCAAAATATACGTTTTTATCGTTTCTTTTTGGTATATTGTAGTATGAACAACCGGAAGTCTATTAAATTTGGATAAACGATCAAAAGATATTCTGACAAATCTGGATTTTGTATTTGTATCAAATTCAAAACAGTAATCGAATTGATGTTCCTTATCTCCAATTTCTGTTTCATAGGCTCTTCCATTGTTTTGTTTTTTACTGATCGACCACCCAATCTGAGTTAACTCTTCTAAATAAAAACATTGTTGATAAATCTGACAGTACTCTTCTTTTTTGTAATCTCCTCTCCATCTTTTTAACAAAACTATTGAACTTTCTGTGTTTCTATACAAATTAAAACTAATACAATCTCCATCAACTTCATCTGTCCACCACTTTTGTAGTTTTTTGTAGTAGTTCAATTTTAAAATTTGATAAGTGTTCAATTCAGACATTGAAAACGCTTTTGATGGAAACATTTTTCTTACTGAAATATATGAAGAAACTTAAAAAACTCGATTTGTTTTATCATTTTTAAATTATGTTGAAATAACAGTCACCGTAAATATTTTTTAATGATTTAGAGTCTAATTAGTTTCAAGGAAATTCATGTAGCCAAAAAAAACCTCAAACTAAGGCAGAAAAAAATTGAAAACAACCAATGAAATTCAAAAAATCTTTTTAAAAAAAATGATAATGTTTTCAACTAAATATACATTCTTGTTTGTAATTTTCTTAAATTGAGGCAAAATTTAGCTAAATTTTGATAAAAACAGTTATTAAATAAATTTATCTGTAATTTCATAAATAAATACTGGA